GCCTGTCTTCCGAGACACCTCTGGGTAGGTTTGAACCACTAACCTTTTGGCTAGTAGTCAAGTGTTTAATCGTTTGCACCACCCAGGGACTCTGTATCTAGAGGTAGTGGTGATTAATTCAAACACTTCCCCTAAGTAAGCTTGTAGTATAAACAGCTCTTTTCGATTCCTTTTTGTTCCAACTGAAAAATATAGGTACATTTTATTAACAAAAAGTATTTTCCCATGGAGGTGGAGGGAGAAGAATGAGTTGCTCAGTTGTGCATCCTGAGCTCTTCTGACAGCCATGCTTTTCTCACTATTTATTCTTGATATATTTCAAGTTCTGAGGCATTAGTAATGTTTATTCAGACTAAGACATGGTATGCTGTTGGCATTGCCAAACTCTGATTTGTTCCTTCTAGAATTTCAAAGGTTTGCTAAGGTTTTTCTCATTCTTCTTACCTGTTTTCAGGTATGAATCTGGATTTGGCCTATCAGTACTGTGAAATTTATTTTCTAGTAGTAAAAAAGAAAAATGTATTCTGTCTTGTACAGAATCTGTTGTTATGTATGTATTCTAGTGAGGTTTTCAGGTTTCGGCTTGTAAGGTATTTTTGGATAAACTTAACATATATTAAATCCTCTGCTATACAAATGGCACTGTATTGCATATGAAGTAAATGTGTTTTATTATAATAATGAAGTCCCTTTATTTAGAGAAATAATTAAGAACTTAACTCTTTTAAGTTTCTTGTTTAAATGTTATAATTTATGTGACCACATCTCCCAGTTTGTGCAGGAAGAGTTCTGTTTTACGCCTCTTTCTCTGGTTGATGTCATTATTAATAACATCCCCTTTATTCTAAAAAGTGTCCCAGGTTGAAATATGCATTGTTTGGACATTCTAGTTATAATACTAGGATACTCACTTTCCCTTTCTGTTTCACAAATAAGATTGATTTAAGATTCCTTTTCCCTTTTCTTCCATCTTTCCTCTCAATCCATTTCCCATATGACAACAGAGGGGATGGAAGAGGTAGATATGTGTATATGGGGGATGGGAGGCAGCATGAAAGAATCATGAAAAACACAGTTTGTGATCAAATGTTAGCTTTATAAAAGTGTTTCAAAGCATGAAATGTTCAAGTTTTGGTGTTCTAAAACATTTGTTACAATGTTGGCCAGTTGGCCAACTCTCAACATCTTTCTCTATTATTACGATTAGATTTGATTACGTATTCAGTTTAAACTTTTAAAACTTGAGATTCATTAGCTTGTACATGCTGCAGGTAGCATCTATCAGTTTTTCAAGTTTCTCTTTTGAAGAACGTTTGAATTCCCGCTATTTGTTTTGTAACTGTATTTGTGTTACATTTTCTAATGCATTTAACATTTAGAAACGGATAATTTATTAGTTATTATAGTTTTATCTGTAGTAGGCATACATTCCCTCTGGTGTTTTATCAAACCAGTGTAATTTTGAAAGAGCATGTTATGTACTGTGAGCTATAAAAATGAGTGTGTAACATACTCACAACTCTGTCAAGGCTTATTTTGATTTAACATCTATTTGTGCTATGAGATGATCATGTAATAAAAATCCCATAATCTTAGAACTTCCCAAGGAGATAACTTTTATGAAACAAAGGGAATCTTAAGAGAAGTAGCATAGTATGATTAAGAGCATGAACTCTGGAGCCAGGCTGTTTTGGTTCCCCTGTGTGACCATGAAGCCCTGGTAGCGTCGTAGTTAAGCGTTTGGCTACTAACCAAAGGGTCGGCAGATTCGAATCCACCAGCTCCTCCTTGGAAACTCTGTGGGGCAGTTCTACTCTGTCCTGTAGGGTTACGGTGAGTCAGAATTAGCTCAATGGCAACGAGTTTTTTTTGTTTTGTTTTGTTTTTTAATGTGACCTTAGGCTAATACTTAATCTTTCTACATTTCAGTCCCCTCATTTGTAAAATGGAGGTAATAATATAACCTACTCCTTGTGGGATTAAGTGAGTTACTATATGTAAAGTGCTTAGAACAGTTCCTAGCACATGGTAAGCACTTTATATGTGTTTGCTATTACTGTTATCATCATTGGAAGAATACATTGAATTTGTATGTCTTGCAATTAACTTAAAACCTTAAAAGTCAATTGATGATATTAAAGGAAGTATCTCATCTTTATGTGTTATATGGAATTATATTGCTTCTTGTTAAAGCATGTGGGTTGTGGGTAGGATATGTAAGGTGGTACCTCGTAAGAAGAATGTAGTTTACACAGAGATCTTACCAGCAAACACATGTGAGAGGATCTGTTGATAGAAGCTTCAGCTTCTAGCACATTCCCCTATTTATTTTGGTTTTCCCTTGCTGAATTGCCTTTGCCTGTCATCTTTCATGTCTCTTTTTTTTTTTTTGAAATTTTTCTCTTTATTTGCTCATCTCTCTTCCTCTGGTTAAAAATAAGTTCTCCTTTTTATGGCCATAGAATTTTGTTTATGCCTCAACATAGCACTTATTATAGTTAACTAGATGATGTAGATTGTGACATGGTGAATGTTCTAGTAGCCTCTAATCCCACTTCCTGTCATAATCCCTAATGTCAGCTTCTTCTGGGTTTTATTTCATTCCTCATCATTTACTTTTATTTCTAATGCCCATTGTCGCAGGAATGAAAATACAGTTGTGGACTGAAGCTTCTCCATCTACCAGCTAAGCTTTCATGATTAATTAGTGCTGATAATGTGACTAATACATATAGAATATTGAGGCTATTTTTAGGAAATGAAAATTAAAACCAATTTGTGGTGATTTATTGACTAAAATATTTAGGTCATTTATGAATGAAAAATATATAAATGTTTAATATATTTTGAGAAATTTATTATATTTATAAAATTATTTTTTTCTTTCTCAATTAATTTTACAATAAAGTTTTTTTAAGGTCATTGCAATCAGGATTACATCAGAAAATAACATACAGTTTTGTGATACCTACTTCAAAATGCACATCTACTTATAGTATACAAAAGTAGATTATTTTCTTTTTAATACATTATCTGTACTCAACTTTTAAAAACTTTTGTTTCTATCTCATAAACTATTTGCTGATGAATCTTTTATGGTTGTCATATTTTCAATTTTCAATTTATTGTTAGCATATCCACACAAAAGACCACATTGAGTACTGGCACCACAAATATGACCACTAAGCATTTCTATCGAATACTTATTAGGTAGATTTATTCAAACTGAGAGGGCCTTCATGACTCCCGACTGATATTCTCCATGAACAGTAAGAACCAAATTCTAACATCCATTCTACTACTTTAAGGAAGATAGGATAGGATGATGTAAAAACAATTGGCTTTGAAGTAAGATATATCTCAGTTCAAATTATGCCTTTAACACTTAGGTTATGTGACTTAGGGCTAGATACTTAAGCTTGCTAGACTTCAGTTTACTCAGCTATAAAATAGGTTAGAAAATATTTATAAAACATAAGGGATTTATAGGGATTAAATGAGCAAAACCATTTACACCCACTCCTCACTTAACCAACATGGTTAGGTTCCAGAGACCAGGTCGTTATGCAAAAATTGGCATTATGTGAAAATGGAGGATGACCACATCATTACATAACTGCCAAACCAGTGAGAATTATGGCCCAGCCAAGTTAACACATAACCTTAGCCGTCATAGCCAGCGTTACTCTCGCCTAACACCTCAGCGGTTTTACTGCCACACGTAACGTCGTCAATGCGCAAAATAGCTGGATAGTAGATTTTTTGCTGTTGTTGTATATGCAAAATGTCACATAACAAGATAATCGATAAGTGAGTAGGTGTCTTTTAGAGAAAAAGATTTTTAAAAAATTTTGTGACTTTCTTCAAAGAATGCTGGTATTTTTCTTGATACAAAATTCCACCTTGATTTAAAAAAAGACAAAATTTGATCTTTGAAGGTTCATGGCTGTGTCATCTTCTAATTACTCACTATTATTACCTTCCAACCTTTGGGACACTCCCCTGTTTACTGAGATGTTGTTACTTTCCAACCTTTGGGACATGTCCCTGTTTGTTGAGAACTGGCACTAAATGCAGCTTTTCTGTTGATTTCAGTTCCTATTGTCATCACCACTCCAAGTGGATGACTCATATAATATCCTGGTCTCATACTTCCTTTATCCTTACATGGATATTTACCTTCATCTCAGCTTCACTTCATGGACCCATTGCCATCAAGTTGATTCTGACTCATAGCGACTCTAAAGGACAGAGTAGAACTGCTCCATAGGATTTCCATGGAGCGGCTGGTGGATTTGAACTGCTGACTTTATAGCCACTTCAGTGGTCACACTCTGGATCTTATCAACTAAATTTCTACCTCTGGTAGTCTGTTCTACCTCTGAATCACCATCCTCCAACAGCAATCTTTAGTCTTCCATCTTGCTTGTACAACAACTTCCATCTTATCAAGACCTCCCATCCTTTGTCTGCTCTACTTTCTCTTTATCAGCCTTTTCTGTATTGCTCTCTTGTCCCTTCCTCTACAACTGAGACTTCAAGGTTCATTGTTTCAACTGTTCTTTTGCCTGTATCCCAAACTTCTTTCCCATTTTGATTCTTGTGATCTCTGTATTTTATCTTTCACTTAAAATATTTTAAAGAACATTTATTAACTTCTCTAAATCTCAGTTTTCTTGTGACTAATATGTTATCATACCTAAGTTACAGGATTATGGTAAGGATTAAAATAGTTATTATATATACAAACTGCCTAGCCTACCCTTTGAAACCCATGTGGAGAAAAGTTGCATGATATTTAGAGGTAGATCATGTTTGCACCTACACTACTCTTTGCTACTGGAAACTCACCAGGCCAGGCAGATTAATATAATATACATTTTGCTCACCGAGCTCTAGGGAGTCTTGAAGATTGCCATATAGTCCAACTCTTAGTAAGAACATTTATGAATCTTTAAAAGATGCACTTGAAATAACTGCAATGTTTATTTAAATATTAGAAATCTGCGAGAAGCAAGAGATAATGCAGTGGCAGAAAAGGACCGAGCAGTGATGGCTGAGAAGGATGCTTTAGAAAAACATGATCAGCTCTTAGCCAGGTAAGGATCCTGAAAACAGAAACATTAAAACTCTTCGATTTTGTTTATGTTACTTTTTCTTCTATAAAGTATATTTTAGTGGCGGTATAATTTTCTTTTCAATTGAAGTATAATTTGCATGCATTATTTTTATAATATGGTATTATTGCATACATTGAAAACAAGATATAGAATACAGGCAGTCTCCAGGGTTATGAATGCCCTACTTGACAACTCATACTTACCCTTTAATGCTATGTAAATTTGCCCTCACTTTACAATTGAACCAACACCTACTCATTGAACCAACCCCTACTCACAACAAATCTTCATCACAATCACCTTCACTTGCTGCACGTGCAGCTTTTAAATCCTTGGAAAGCCTTCGATCCTTTTCTTACACTAACCAAAAAAACCAAACCTGTTGCTGTAGAGTCGATTCCAACTCATGGCAACCCTTTAAGTAGAACTGCCCCCATAGGGTTTCCAAGGAGCGGATGGTGAAGTCAAACTGCCAACCTTTTGGTTAGCAGCCAAGTTCTTAACCACTGCACCACTAAGGCTCCTCTTACACTAAACTAAGGCTAAAAGAATCGAATGCACCTGTTCCGACTTACCTACAAACTTGACTTAAAGACACAGTTAGGAACGGATCTCATTCATAACCCGGAGACTGCCTGTAGTTCAGTCACCCCCGAGAGTTTCTTTGTACTCCTTTCAATCGGTCTCAACCACTACCCCTCAAGAGGCCACCACTTTCTATTGCTGAGTATGAATATACCACAGTTTGTTTATTCACCTGTTGATTAGGCATTTAGGCTGTTTCTATTTTGGAGCTATCATAAACAAAGTTGTTATAAACACTCTTATGGGCATATGTTTATATTCCATTTGGTAGATACAAAGAAGTGAAATTGCTTGTGATAGGGTAGATAAATGTTTTACTCTGAAAGAAACTGCCAAGCAGTTGTCCAAATGGTTGTACTATTTTACACTCCCTTGTTCATTTTTTTAAACCCTTTGTGTTCTGGTGTATGTGCCTTGGAGGGAGGGGAAGAGAATTGTCTTTATCAATAGGAAAGGATGTTTATTTTAAGATTCTTGTTACAAGGAAAATCACTGATGAGTATTAAAGTAAATGTCATTACCTAATTAAATCCCCTAAATTTTCAGTACTTTGACTGTATTCAGAGTAAGCAGAGGGGTTATTATTATTTTCTTAATAGAGTTTATTTTTTAGAGTAGTATTTAGGTTTATGCAGAAAACTTGAGCAAAAAATACAAAGGTTCCATATGCTGCCTCTTCCCCCATCCTTTCCCAGTTTGCAGTGTTATTAACATCTTGCATTGGTGTTATACATTTTTAACAATTGATGAACCAGTATTGATACTATTGTTAACTATAAATACATAGTTTAAATTAGGGTTCATGCTTGTGTTGTATGGCTCTAATGGTTTTGACAAATGTATAGTGTCACCTGTCTACCATTACAGTATTATACACAATGCGATACAGAGTTATACAGAATAGTTTCACAGCTATTCATCCTTCCCCCTGTTCCCAACCTCTAGCAACTGCTGATCTTTTTACTGCCTCTGTAGTTTTGCATTTTTCAGAGCGTCAGATAGTTGGAATCATATGTAGCCTTTTCAGACTGACTTCTTTCACTTAGCAATATGCATTCAGGGTTCCTCTGTGTCTTTTCATGGCCTGATAGTTCATTTCTTTTTATTGCTGAATAATATTCCATTGTATGGATATGCTACAGTTTGTTTATCCATTTACCTTTTGGTGGATATCATGGTGCTTCCAGTTTTTGGCAATTATGAATAAATAAGACTGATATAAACATTGGTGTGCAAGTTTTTGTATGAAGCTAAGTCTTCAACTCATTTGGGTAAATACCTAGGAGTACAATTGCTGGATTGCATTTTAAGACTGTGTTTAGCTTTGTAAGAAACTGCCAGACTGTCTTCCAAAGTGGCTGTATCATTTTGCATTCCCACCGGCAAAGAATGACAATTCCTGTAGTTTCACATCGTCACCAGCATTTGGTGGTGTCACTGTTTTCAGTTTTAGCCATTGTAATAGGAGTCCCAGAGTGATGCAAGTAGTTAATGCACTTGGCTGCTAATTGAAAAGTTAGAAGTTCGAGTCCACCCAGAGATGCTTTGGAAGAAAGCCCTGACAGTCTACTTCTGAAAAATCAGCCTTTGGAAACTACAGAGCACAGTTCTGCTCTGATACATGGGGTCGCCATGAGGTAGAGTCAATAACAGCAGCTTGTTTTTCAGTAGGTGTGTAGTGTATCTCATTGTTTTAATTTGCAATTTCATAATGACATATAATTTTGAGCATGTTCTCATGTGCTTATTTGCATCTGTGTTTCTTCTCTGGTGTGGTGTCTGTTTAGACCTTTTGTCCAGTTTGTAATTGGGTTGTTATTGTTAAGTTGTAAGAGTTCTTTTTATTTTGTATACAAGTCTTTTATCATCTGTGTGTTTTGCAAATATTTTCTCCCACTCTGTGGCTTCTCTTTTCATTCTAGTAACAGTGTCTTTCATAAAGCAGAAATTTTTATCTGTAATAAATTCCAACTTATCATTTTTTCCTTTCATGAATTGTGCTTTTGGTGTTTCTAAAACTTCATTGCCAACCTAAGGTTGCCTAAATTTTCTCTTCTGTTATCTTCTAGAAGTTTTATATAGTTTTGTGCATTACATTTAGATCTGTGATTCATGTTGAGTTCATATTTATGAAAGGTGTGAAGTCAGTGTCTAGATTCATGTTTTTTGTATGTGGATGTCCAGTTGTTCCAGCGCCATTTGTTGAAAAGACTGTCCTTTCTCCATTGGGTTGCCTTTGCCTCTTTGGCAAAGATCAGTTGACTGTATTTATATGGGTTAATTTCTGGATTCTCTATTCTGTTCCATTGATCTGTTTGTCTGTTTTTTCACTAATACCACACTGTCTTGGTTACTGTACTTTATAGTAAGTCTTAAAGTTAGGTAGTGTAACTTTTTATTTTGAAATAATTTCAGACTTACCAAAAAGTTGGTAAAATACTGCAAAGATTTCCATATACCTTTCACATATTGGTAAACTTTTGAAATTACGTTCAAGTGTCTTTTAACTGTTAAATGAAGACCTACAGATTAAGTTGTGATTTAAGCAATACATAAAACGAAAATGTTATACAAGTTTTCATATAATTAACCTATTGTCAGAATCTTTTAGAATGGCTCACATTGTTATACTTCTGTATTCACATCAACTTTATAAACTTAACCCATGAAGAAAGTGTAATAAATGTAATGCTGAAGAAGTCATTCCTATAATGTGAACGTATGTTTAATTCTAAGGATTTTAGTATAAAATGAATTTGTAATCCAGCTGTTTTTATTAGCATGCTATTAAAGGCTAGCTTATTTTTTTATCTTTTATTATGTAAAACCCCTCCATTTATAAATCTATATGATACCCACTAAAGAATTACTTGACTTTTTGTTGATGTTTTTTGTTTGTTTTTATTTTTTAAATAATATAGTGTTTTTAGTGAAAGTTTACACAGCAAATTAGATTCCCACTTAACAGTTTCTACACAAATTGTTTAGAGACATTGGTTACGTTTTTCACAGTATGTCAACATTCTCACTATTTCTGTTATGGTTGTTCCGTTCCCATTAATCTTTTTACCCTGCCTCCCCCGCCCCAACCCTTGCCTTCTCATCTTTGCTTTACAGTAAGTTTTGAGCATTTGGTTTCATATAGGTGATTTTTTAAAGGAACACAGTACATTATTCATGGGTGATATTGTTTATGAGCCAATCTGTTATTTAGCTGAAAAATGACTTCCGGGAGTAGTTTCAGTTCAAAGTTTAATGGCTGTCTCAGAGCAGTAGTCTCAGGGGTTCCTCTAGTCTCAACCAATCCTTACTGGTAAGTGGACTTTTTAAGAATTTGAGTTTGTTCTACATTTTTCTCTTATCAGGGTCTGTCTGTTGTGTCCCTGATCAGAACAGTTGGTAGTGGTAGCCGGGCACCATCTAGTTCTTCTGGTCTCAGGGTAGATGAGGCCGTGGTTCGTGTAGGCTGTTAGTCTTGTAGACTAGTTTCTTCTTTGAGTCTTTGGTTTCCTTCTTTCTCTTTTGCTTCAGTTGAGTAGAGACCAACAGTTGTGTCTTAGATGGCCACTCACAAACTTTTAAGACACCAGATGCTACTCACCAAACTAGGTTAGGGTATAGAATATAAACTTTATGAACTATATTATGCCAGTTAACTGAGTTGTCCCTCAAGACTATGGACCTAAGTGTTCAAACTTAGTAAACCAATCCTCCTAGGTGTTTGGTTATATCTAAGAAGTATCCATAACTGTGCCTTCTATGTGCTTTGTTATATATACAGTGAAACCTGTGAGAGCCACAACTCGACAGGACTGCCTTGTTTTTCCAGGTCTCACAAGTTTTTTGCCTTTGACAAGGTGTAGTCTTACCACTTTTCTATTGCTCGTTTTAGTGGAAAATATTTGAGTTTTCCTCACTGACAGGTTTCTGCCTTACACAGCTTCCAGCTTTCGCAGGTTTTAATATATATATGAATATATATGCAGCACACACCTACATGGATATACATATGCCTGTAGATACACTTAGGAGCCCTGGTGGCACAGTGGTTAAGAGCTGGGGTGCTAACCGAAAGGTCATCAGTTCAAATCCACTGGAAACCCTACGGGGCAGTTCTACTCTGTCCTATAGGGTTGCTATGAGTCGGAATCAATTCAATGGCAACGGGTTTGGTTTTGGTTTTATAAATACACCTATACATACACACACATATATACACACATATATCTACCTATACCGTATTTTCAAGCAAATAATGTACATGTTATACTTTTTTTTATCAACCATGCCCTCCTCCTGCGAGGTATTTTCATGAACGCACTATGCTTATGTTTTTTACAGCAACATGTAAAAAAACTCGCATAGAGTGCTTATAAAAATACCTCATGGGAGGA